CTATAAAAATATTTACCATCGCCAAATTGAGCCTTTCACGGTGCTTAAAAATAGATGGAGTGGGACTCTGAATGGGCATCTTGCCCCTTTTCATTTGGATCATGGGATGATCATGAGTGACTGTTAAGAAGCAACTGACGACAGGCAGACCTTCAAGCACAGCGTCTGCCCGCAGAAAAGGGCAATCAATGTGAGAAGGGAGGGACGGAGCACCGGCCAGGATTTAGCTAATCCCTCCCCGTCAGCCTGTCTTGCGTATTTAAAGAGGCCACAGCATGACCTGGAGTATATGAAACTGCTATTCTAGTACTGGAAAGATTTAGGAAGTCAGGTACGTCAGACTCAGATCCTGTGACACGCAGCATTCGCGACGGCAAGAAGATTCTCCCATTTCAGAACCAGCAAACCATACTGGAATACTAGCATGATGCTCAGCCACACAAAACAACTCCAGATTCTGTAACAATTAATTAATGAAGCTAACATTACTTCAACGCGCAGGGCAGCCTCCCTGCACATCTACCCGTAACTACGTTCTACTAAATCATGCCCGATGGCACCACTGAGCTAACCTTGAAAAAAATTAAACAAGATCAGAACGTGTTATTGCTTGGATGGGAGACATCCCAGGGTCGCAAGCTAGACTGGCAAGTGAAAAAATACGTCTTGGCAGAAAACAATGGCAGATAACTTCTGCACCGTAGTTGAGAAAACTAGATGGGCCATGAAGTCACTGGGAGACCAACTTGGCTCAAAGTAGTTTTTGGTCTTTTATGTCCTGCTATACACAGGTATGGAACTGCACTACTGACTAAAGGTTGTAACAGCGGTGTAGTTACTTCAGAAATATTACTTGTCAGAGCAGCACGCACACTGCCAGGGCCACACACTTGGTGCCACCACTGAGCACTTGCTCCCAGGGGCCTTATTATCCTCCTGTTGGGTTTCACAGCTTTCCCCCAGGGGTTTCCGAGTAGGCTCAAGCCCCAAAGATATCTGTCAATCAATGCTGTTGAACTCTTGGGAAGGAACCACCTTCTATCAACCACAGACGTTCCTGATGTGACTCTCCCAAGCTAATTAAGGGCCCATTCATTGGCTCAGGAACTCAAAAGCAGTGGAAATGCCCAGGAAAGTAATTTTCATTTGCCGAGTCAACAGGAGTCCAGGGAGACTTTACCTTTAACCACAAGAACAATACAGAGGTTATTGCTCCAAGCCTTCTCAGTTCCAGTAATGAATGAAACCAGAATATAGTGTTCCTGACCCACTTGGGAGAGAACACAAACATTACTGATTGAAAAAAGCATTGTCAAGAGAAACAGGGCCAGTATTTTGGGGGGGAAGGGAGCAACCATGAATCCTACTGAGTTGGCATAATTTTATTCAAATGTCTGGTGGGAAAAGCTGTCTATCTGCCAAATGACTAGTTGCCATTTCTTCTGCAGCCAGGGAAAGCCTCCTTCTATTTTCCCAGAAATGATGCTCATGAACCCTGGGAATATGGGGAATAAATGCTGATGAGAAAGTGCAAATCAGAGGTCAAGCAGAAGTTCTGGGGTGAACTAATACCAGGCTGTAGGACTCAATGCAAGTCAGCACTCTCAAATGAAAAAAAAAATTAGAACAAAAATTAAGAAAGAAGAGAAATTGCCATCCTAATACAATGTAGTAAAGTTGTTGTTGTTGTTGTTGTTTAGTCGTTAAGTCGTGTCTGACTCTTGGTGACCCCATGAACCATATTGCGCCAGGCCTTCCTGTCCTTCACTGCCTACCTGAGTTGGCTCAGTTTCATGCTCATTGCTTCAGTGATGCTATCTAACCATCTCATCCTCTGCCGTCCTCTTCTCCTTTTGCCTTCAATCTTTCCCAGCATCCGGGTCTTCCCCAAAGAGATCT